GCTGCGCATACTTACCCGTTCTTGAGCAATCACGATCCAAAAAGTGTCCACACTTATATGGTAGGCCACTGTATATATATTCCTAATCCACTTAAATTCCGTTTCCACTTACAACAGATATATAAGTTTTAAATCGGTTTTTATAGTAAATATAGTTTGTAGTCAACCAAAGTTGTTGACTCGAAATTTAAAAAATGGCTTTAGCCGACTATGCTTTTAGTATGTGAAATAATATATATCCCGAATTTTTCCGTCAATCACTATAAAGTTATTTGATTCTACTTGTAGCTCTTCCGACGTTTCCTATGTACTTTATCAAGGATTGACTAAGTCAAATTTTAAAAAACCGACTGACTTAGTTGGCTAAGTCGATTTTATCGGCTAATTCCAAATCGACTTAGGTTTGATTTAAATCTAATATATGCAGATCCTGCATCAATCAAATTTAAATCAAGCCAATCAAACTTTCCATCGAGTGAGGGGCACGAAAAAATTTTTAGGCATGCCCTCAAAACATATATAATAAGTACACCCCTATAAATGCAATTTGTTGTGACTTTTCCTCTATAAGTTCACGTCATTTAGCCCGGTGCCACTCATTTTGTAACAATCACTTCACTGATGACTTAGTTTGCAGACAATTAATTTACAGACAAAATTATTTTACATACGAATAATTTACAGACAGTCTGTGAAAGAATCTTGTCTACAAATTAAGTTGAAATAATACAGATCAGTATAATAAAAAACATTAGAATAATTTATTAAAGTGCGAACTTAGACTTCAGTAAGTGCATATTTCTCCCAATGACATACTCTTAGGCCATATAAAAAATATTTTTGGTTTTCATAACCCGGCCGGGTCAAAATTTGAAAACTTGTAAAAAATTTTTTTTATATGTTTTAAAAAAAAAGCCGGCCGGCCGGCCGGCCGGGTCAGTTTAAACAGCTCTATGTTATGAAAACCAAAAAATTTTTTTTGTATAGCCTTATGGAGGGTTGACTGTATCAATATTATTAATATTATTTTTAAAAACAGTTAATATTAACCAATCAGAAGACGAATTCATTTAACATTTTTTAAATATTAAATAAGATAGGCCTTCTAGCTTAAGGCATGCCCATGAACCCTGTGCCCCTCACCCTACTAAATCGACTATAACCACCATAAAATCTAAATTAAAACCACAAGTTTTCTTCTTAAAAACGAGAACAAATCTTGTGAATGATTTATAACCGTTAAGTATATAGCATTTTTTATAACGATAAAGTTATTTAAAGCTGAGGCATTATGACGCATTTAGTGTTTAGTGTAACAAAACATGTATGCTCACGCGTTCATGTATTACAATACATGGCAAGTCATATGATTAGATGAAAAGTTTTGTTCCAGACGCATAACGATAATGCTATGCATTAAGTCTAGCAGTATTTCTTCTTCTGTCAAGTGGAAATATGAAAAATTTAACTACAGTTATTTTAACAATTTTGGTTACATTTTTGGCGATTATATATACCTTATATAAAAATTGGTTAGTATTAAGTGGATGTTATCGTGAACCAGCTCAAAAATATAACGGAGGGAAATGTCGATATCTCGAAGGTATGTTTATGTTATAACTTTATTTTCTGTCAATTTGTTTTCATTCCTACTAAATAGTACATGGTCTAGGTCTAAAGTTACAGTTATGCGAGGATATTAAAATACATCATGCTTCTGGATTCGCCTACCTTGCGTGTGGAGACAAACAGAGTCGTAAAACTATACCATGGCCACCACCTGGTCCATATAATGACAGTTTTCATTTAAGGGGAGTCTTTTATGTATACAACATCGAGGTATCTTCAAATCACGTGTTTACCATGTGCATTTATACAATTTTTAATCAATAATATAAATTGTATAATTCGTATCATCAGGCAGACAAGTTAACTCCCCTTATTCTCAAAAATTTTTCCGACAAAGAAGATTTTTCGCTTCATGGTTTTGGAATATACGAAAGTCCTACAGAACCTGATAATCTTTATTTCTTTATTATAAACCACAAGCGTTCTGGAAGTGTGATTGAGTTATTTAGGCACAAAATAAACACATTTGAATTATATTATTTAAAAACTTTTAAACATGATTTAATTTATAATCCCAATAATGTTGCTCCAGTGTCAAAAGAAGAATTTTACGTAACAAATGATCTATATAGTCAGTCGTACTGGATGATGCAATTTGAAAGTAACTATCATATCAATTTTCCAAGATTAATGAAATTATATACTAATAATTTATATGCTTTAAAATAGTCCTGACACGTCGTAAATGGAGTAACGTTGTCTTTCACTCCTCAAAAACCAATATTACAGAAATAGTTGTTAATGGATTAATTTTTTCAAATGGGATTAATGTAAATTGGGATTATTCACACGTTTTTATTGGGACTACTGGTACGGGAGAACTTTTAATATATGAAAGAAAACCTGATAATAAATTGAAGCTGTTGGATGTTATTAATGTTGAACATCCTATTGATAACGTTAATGTGGATCCGGTGACAGGTGAAATTTATCTTGCAGGTATGTGAATGTAAAGCTGATTGTTTTTTAGATTATCATCTTTTTTGAAATACCATGAACTTCATACAATAGTGGCACATAGTCTTGTAGAATTGGGAACATATTTGAGTGGTTTGGACAAATCAAAAAAGCCTTCATTCGGTGTGATTAAAATTAGTAACAACACTGAAGAAGACAAGTTTAATGGGATTAAATATGTAAAAGAGAAAATATTTGAGGATGATGGTACTTTGTTTCATGCGGCTTCTGTGGCGGCCGGTGATAAGAATAGGAAAGTGATGTTTTTGGGATCACCCTTTGCTGAAGGGGTTGTTAGATGCGACTTGAATTAAGATATATTCAAGAAGAAATAATTTAATTAGTGTGAGATGGAGATTTATTATATTTGTTATTTATGTTTTCTATATCAATATTTTTGGCATCGTAAATATTGTTCGCTTTGCCCCTGTTGCTTTGTAGCATGAGAAATAAAAATATGTTACATCTCTCTACCTTTCTTTCATTATCATGTAATCTGTTAATTGTATATTAATTCTTCTAATGCAGCAAAGAAACTATGCGAATGACTGGCTTGATTAACCACGACTTACATCGAATATGACAATTTGTACAAGCGGAAACAAAGTTTCTACTACAGTGCGGGCATCCTTAAACCAACAACTTTTTTAAAAGTGGCCAAATTTGAAACAAAATACTAAATTCTGATTGGTTAATAGTTTAACATTTTATTATGTTTTTTAAAATTTTATTATATTTTTTAAAATTTTATTATGTTTTTATATATATGTGGCCAAATTTTTTCAAAAGGTTATAACTTTATTAAATATTAATTAACTAAAAAAATAAACTTTGTAACTTTGTTCTTTAGGTTTTATCTTATTATTTTACAAAGAGATTTAATTTATAACTATTTTAGTTTTTTTTATTTATAAATTTTTAAAAATTGTATATGTTGGTTTAAGGATGCCCGCACTGTAGTACTCAACAGATTGGCACGCTCTATAATCACCGTTAGAATTCAACGAATCAATGATCGTGTAATATAAACTCTAAGATTTCCTTTTTAATATTTCAAAAAAAAAAACAAAATCACACGGATAAAAACTATAATTAATTTTAAATTATTTTTATGCTTATATTTGATAATATTTATGTATCATTTTTTATTTGAGTTTAGCCAAATGAAAACCCGTAAATCTAAAAATAAATCACTTATCTGTTATGAAATTCATAAGTGATATACGGGTTTTCATTTGGCGACACTCATTTGATCAGGTATCTGCTAGTCTAGAAGATTCTGATGATAAATGATACTGGTTACTCATATCAATGAATTGGAGTTAAAAAGATGAATATAGAGCATTTATTTATTATCAAGAATCTGCCAATATGCATAATGTTTATGAGTTCTATATTATAGGACTTAAAGACGCTAGTGAAATTTATTTCACTAAATTTCACCAATTCAACATCAATTTCACCAATAGTGGTGAAATTATTTCACCATTCTAATTTCATCAGCATCTTTAGGTAGGACATTGTTATCAAAATGAAATTAGAGTTGAAATGATAAACGTAAGGCATTCAATTCAGTTATTATCACAGAGAAAGGTGACTCTAAAAAAACACTTAAGTCGGTTATTGCTATGAAATGGAATTGAATGAATGTAAGGCATTCGATTATTATCAAAGATGGGTGATTCCAAAGGAATGCTTTTAAAGTCGATTATTGTTACCGAAGTGGAAAGGATGAGCATTTATTATCGCAAATCTGCAGATATGGGTAATGCCGATAGAGTTACGGAAATTTTTGACAAAATTTTTTTGCATGAATCTTCGTTATGTATTTTCTTTATTTTCTCTATGTGTAAAAGCAAATA